TTTTTTTTGTATATTTTGAAATATATTTACAATTATATTTGAAAATATAATTTTTTTACTTTACAGGTCAGTTAAGTTGGTTCAGTTTAGTTCAATAACAGTGTGCAGCGATTATAAAGCAAACTCAATTCAACAGTTCAGTGTTGATTCAGTTTAGTTCAAAAATAGTGCAAAGTTCATCAATTAAGAAACAAGCTTAACTCAGCTGTAAAGAAGCTCTACAGAAAACAATAATGACATCAAGTCAGATCGGTGTTGATTCAGTTGCATTCAGTTTAATAACAGTGTTGCAGAGCTCATCAATTATGAAACAAATTCGATTCAGCTCTAAAGGAAGAAAGTGATTGTCCTATAATAGCTTCTGTCAGAGCATCACCATCATAACTTTATATTAACTGATCATGCGCCACAAGAGATGCATAAAGTTGATTTTCACACTTCGACCTGTGGAGAACGAGCGTGGCCCGGACATGCAGGATTTATGACTGCGATAAAGCGTCAAACGTGTCTCCGTCCCCAGAGTCACGCCGCTTATTGTTCAGCTCGTTCTTTCACCTTGACTCAGTTTTTTGCCGCAGTAACCTGTCTCTCTCCACCTGGCAGACAGACACAGCGCAGGTCTCCTCCGACAGAAGCGGCCAAAACAAATTGCTGCTGATTTAGTTTGGCAGCGTCCAGGGTTTCCACGAGGATCTCATGCGGTGGAGAATGTAGTTTTGAAACTTCTGGAAAAGCCCAAAGCGCTGGCCGTTTCCCAGCAAAGGAGAATGTCACTTAAATTCAGCGTACGACTCGAAAGTGTGAGAAAGGTTTGCGAAGGCCGATCCAAGAACCACAGAGTGGTAATATTAGAGCTCGGGGGAAGATATATTTAGCCAAATATCCTACAAAATGAATCGTCTGCTGACCAACAGTGGCTTGGATGTTGAACTAAGCCGCTTTCCAAAACGTCACGCTGTCTTATTTTGTGGGAAAACGAGAAACCACTTCCTCTCATAGAAGAGTTTCTCTCGCAGTTTTGTGTTAATGTTGTAAAAGCTTCTTGTGTCTCACTCCTTTTCTGTGTCTGCAGTTCCAAATAATCTTAAATTATTAGTGCATCTCAGCATTTGAAAGCACATTTTGGGAAAAGTGCTGTTCAAATAAGTGCAAATATTTCACATGGTCTCTAGGGTGCTTTCACACTTGGTTCGATTGCTCCCCTGCCCCCGCTGGACTGTGTTCACATTATATTATTTGGGTCCGAACCACGGTTAGTTTGCGTCATCAGGCCAGCAGCTGTTTACCCCATTGCTTAGTAACGAAGGCGCAGGAGAAGACGGCAAAATGCATAGCATTGCTCTCTTCAATTTTATATTTATGCTTTTGAACCGTTGGTTTTGTTTCCAAAGCTTCAGTACATAATGGCACTTACGTCTGCCTTACTGCAAATGCTCTAAAGAACGCTGAAGGCGAACAGAAATTAGATATACATCATCCAAACGAACCGAACTCTGACATCAATCGAACCTGGGTGCGCACCGAAAGTGCTAGTGTGAAAGTAATAAATTAACATGAGGTCATGAAATCTGCAAGCACAATAATTAGAGTACAAATGCGTTTCATAAATGCTACAAATTTAGTTCATAGCAGGAGGTAAAATTGTTATGCTTTCTAACTTAACAGCTTGAAAACATCATATTTACTTCCTGATTAGCAACATTTCCAAGAAAGATGCTCATTTAGAAATGGATTGTGTGAGACTTTTTGACAAAATATTGTAGACTATTTACATGTTTAGTGCAATATGTGCATAGTCCAGACAATAGACCACAAATAGATCAATTAAATATATTTAAATATTATTTTTCTCCACATTTTGAATATAGATTTGTATATTTCACTGTTAATGATGAGACATGATGAAATTGCTATATA